GGACCGGGGACCGCCAACGGGATCGCAACCCTCGGTGTTGCCCCCGCGCCCCGCTCAGCCAGTGAGCGGGAACCGGTCTGTATGTGGGATCCGAACCCTCAGGCGGGAGCACCGCCGCGCTTCCCACGCGGCGCACTATCCAGTGCGCCACCGGGCCGGCCCCTAAATTTATTTTTCTTAATTGACCCATGATAACTGTATGTATTTATGGAGTACAATATGATATTTGGGTACATTCATACTGTGTGCAATGATCATATCAGGGTGCTTAGTACATCCATCACCTCAAACATTTGTCACTTCTTTGTGTCATGAACATTCAACATCATCTTGACTAGCTATTCAAAGATACATAGTACTCTGTGGTTAATTGTAGTTTCCCTATATTACTGTAGAACCTAAGATCCTGTTCTTCCTCTCTCTCTAATAATTTGTATTCACTAACTCCCCCCCAACTCCCCTCTTCCCTTTCCCCCCACCAGTCTCCAGTAACCACTATTCTACTCTTTTCTTCCATTAGACCAACGTTTTTTGTTTCGGCATGTAAGTGAGAACGTGGTATTTCTGTCTTTGTGTTTGGCTTATTCCACTTAACATAATTTTCTCCAAGATCATCCATGTTACTGCAAAAGGCAGAATTTCATTCTTTTTTTGTGACCGAATAGTATTTCATTGTGCATATATACCACATTTTCTTTATCCAGTCATCCGTGGAAGGACATTTTGGCTGGTTCCAACTCTTGGCTATTCTGAGCATTTCACAATTTGTACCAACTCAGGAAAGCAGCTTTGCACATCACTTTCCACAAAACACAAATGGGTTATTTTTTGAACCCCTGACCTTGGTATTACAACACCTTGCTCTAACCAACCGAGCTCACTGGCAGTCACGCCAGTGGGTTTTAAATGAAAGCCCCCTTTGCTTCGCTTGCAAAACGATTTCTCCAGCGTCAAAGTTCGGGCCACCCCAAATACTATCCTCCTAGACACAGTGACTCACATAAAGGCCACTTGGTGTAATACACACCCTGACAGGGACCAGAGGGTTCTTGTAGGTGGCAGGTGAATTGGACACATTTTTAACAAACACAAGAGTTTCAAGTCACAGTATTCTAGTGTCTTAAAAACACAAGAGTTAAAGAAAAGAAAGAAGAAAAAAGAAAGAACCCCCCCCAAACACAAGAGTTGGGGACCACTTAACTCGGTGTCTTCCCCGGCAAGGCCACTTGTAGGCTCATCTTTCACAGGGCGAGGGGGCCAGAGCTCTTCTGATGAGCGCGCTCTTTGACCTAAGAGAAGAGAGGCATGACCGGCCTACCGTGCCTCTCCCCGCCGACATTCCAGCTCCGGGACGCCGGCCTTCCGTTGGATTCAGTTCATCCTGCAACCTCCCGAGGGGTCTAATCCGCTCCAGGGGCGGGCGCAGGAGGGGCTCGTGCGCCTCCGGACGCCTCAGTCCGGACCGGCGGCCTTTCCTCCTCGCGGAGCTGGAGCCCGACCTACGCCCCTCCCGCAGCCGCCCTCGCTGGGGGGCCCGCGGAGGGCGGGGCGAGCGCCATGACGCGAGGAGGCGCCGGCCAATGGGAACGCCTCGCGGCGCCGGCCGAGCAGCGGGGCTATAAGAGGCTCTGCGGGGCACGGCAGCCCGCTGCTGCATTTAGCGCGGAGCTAGTACCTAGACTGTTCGCTTATTTTCATCGGGTGACTCCGGCCACAGTTCACTGCCCGCGGCAGCCGGCAAAGTTCAGCTGCAGTCCCTGAGGCGCCTCAGGTTCCCTTCCGAGCGGTAGGGCAGGCTCCATGGAGAAGCCCCGGGGCGGCAGGTGCAGCAATAGGTTCTCGGAGCGGGAGCCGCCGCGGCCGGCTGAGAAGTCGCCACGGCCCGAGGCCAAGAGCGCCCAGCCCGCGGACGGCTGGAAGGGCGAGCGGCCTCGCAGTGAGGAGGATAACGAGCTGAACCTCCCCAACCTGGCGGCCGCCTACTCGTCCATCCTGAGCTTGCTAGGCGAGGACCCCCAGCGGCAGGGGCTGCTCAAGACGCCCTGGAGGGCGGCCACGGCCATGCAGTTCTTCACCAAGGGCTACCAGGAGACCATCTCAGGTCGGTGCTCCCGCCGGCCGCGTAGGCGCGGGGAGGTGGCTGCGGGAAGCGCGCGCCGGCTCCAGGAAGTTTCTGGAGTTGCCTCACTCTGGGCAGAGCGAGCCGAGCGCTGTCACCTTCCGAACTCCGCCCTCGGCCCTGGCCCGCCGCCCAGCCCGGAGCAAGGGCCCTGCGTGGGGGCGCATTTCGGGCGTCCTAGGTGGCAGCGGCCTCACCACCAGGGTAACCGCTGCAGCCTCCCCCGCAGGGTCCTCTCTGCTCCCAGCACGCGGCCCTCTCCTCGGGAGCAGGGGATCAGGTGGGCGGGAGCGCGGTCACTGAGCTCCCCCGTGGGCGGGAGCCTGGACCCCTCTCGCCTGAGCGCCCGGGGCGGGATGCTCGAGGCAGGAGCGGTTCCAAACTTGCCCATGATAAGGATCACCTGGGCGCTTGTTGAAGTGACAACAAGCGGGTCGTCACTTCTCTTGAGATCCTAATTTTTGGTAGATGAAGCACTAGGGAGATCCTTCCCTGCGAATTCGGGGACCCGAACTCTCACCGATTTGCAGGGGACCGGGGTCTTCGCAGACTTGTAATTCTCTTTTGTCCACCTCAAGTTCACTCCAGCTCAAGACTTTTCCACTATTTGGCACAGTTCTGGGCACGGACTTCCCCCGAGTTTGAGGTGTGGGGTTTTTTGAGCGAGTTTGCTGCTTAAAGCCTTCTTTCCTTCCATCCCCTCGCTCCCCTCCCCCAAGTAAGCCGGGGGGACCCAGTGCTGTCCACGTTCGAGACGTGTCCGGCTTTCACCCAGCGGTGGGGAAGCAGTCAGTGGTAGGGAGCAGAGGCGGGGTGAAGAGGGAGCGGAAAACGACAGGATTTGGCTGGCTATTTGCTGGGTGAGCAATGTTGGTTATTTTATTTATTTATTTTTGGTTTTGGCAGCTGGCCGGTAGGGGGATCCGAACCCTTGACGTTGGTGTTACCAGCGCTACACTCTAACCGAGTAAGCTAACCTGTCAGCCCCTGGTTATTATTAAAAAACAAACAAACAAAAACCTTCTGGCATTTACGGATGGGACCAAAGACATTGTTTTCCAGCCCACATATTCTGTGCGTCTTGGTGACATTTATATCTTTGGCCTAAGAAGCCTTCTGCCTTCACCGTTTCTGAAAGAAAAGCAGTGCTGTTTTGAAAGGTAACCTCCCTGCTCCTGTTATTTCCCTGAATGAGTGTCCAGCGACTTGGCCAAATAGATGCTGGGAATAACAAAGTTATTTTTGCCCAGTCTTCCACACCCCAAAGGAAGGGTGTGGAAATCAGTGTGAGAGGGGTGGGGCCCAAAAAGGAAATCGTGCTACATTCTTTTTTTTTTTTTTTCCCTGACGGCTGGCTGGTGAGGGGATCCGAACGCATGACCTTGGTGTTAGAAGGCTGTGCTCTAACCAATTAGCTAATTGGTCAGCATTTAAAAAAAATACTATATTCTAAAGCCAAGAACTGAACCTCTAGTTCTGTGTCCAAGTTCAGTTTTTTACCCCTTAATGTCAAAAGTTTGGAATTTCAAGAGCAAATTTTCAAAATACAAATACTGAAGAATGAACATTTGGTTTTCTGTGGGTTCAACTCTTAGGTGGTTGTGTTTGATTTTGGTGATACTCCACGATGTAATGAAGAAACGTCTTAGAGCCTTGCATGTTCTGCCTCTTGCAGATACAGAAAGTGGTCTACTCCACAACTTTGGTCAGCCTTTGGCATTCCAGCCTTAAGAGAGTTCATAGGGAGTGGTCTGTAGATTAGCATGTGTAGATGTAATTACTCAAAGAGAGGGATTTCTGACCTTGAAAGAGGTCATAGAATTACCTAAAGTGATTCACAGGTTTACTTGAGAAATGGTTAGCAGAAGTTTATTTCATGAACAGAATTCAGCTAAAGAGGACTAATGACTCCAAAGAACACTCCATTTTATTTTATTTTATTTATTTATTTTTTAATTTTTTTAAAAGATGACCGGTAAGGGGATCTCAACCCTTGGCTTGGTGTTGTCAGCACCACGCTCAGCCAGTGAGCGAGCCGGCCATCCCTATATAGGATCTGAACCCATGGCTTCGGCTCTATCAGCACCACACTCTCCCGAGTGAGCCACGGGCCGGCCCACTCCATTTCATTTTAGAAAACTGTTCTAATAAAGTGTTAATTTATTGTTTAAAAAGTCCATGGACCGGGCTGGCCCGTGGCTCACTCGGGAGGGTGTGGTGGTGATAACACCAAGGCCATGGGTTCGGGTCCCATATAGGGATGGCCGGTTCGCTCACTGGCTGAGTGTGGTGCTGACAACACCAAGCCAAGGGTTAAGATCCTCTTACTGGTCATCTTTAAAAAAAAAAAAAAAAAAAAAAAAAAAGTCCATGGACATAAAGACAAAAAGCAGATTAGTGTTTCTCAGGGGCTGGAGAGGAGAGGGGAATGGGGAGTGACTGCTTAATGGGTGTAGGGTTTCTTTTTGGGGTGATGAAAATATTCTGGAATTAGAGGGTGATTGTTGCTCAACACTGTGAATGCCACTGAATTGTACACTTTAAAATAGCTGAAATTGTATTTTCAAAGAATTGATCACAAGCAGTTACAAATTTCTTTGTTCTTTATTCCTTCTCCACTCCCACTGCTTCACTTGACTTGCTTTTAAAAATGGCTGAAATGAATTTTATGTATATTTTACCACAATAAAAAAGGTCCATGGACCATTTATGATTATTAATAACCATTAATTGAATGCTTTGTATGGGTTAAATGCTTTACATGGATGGTCTAAGTAAACACTATTCTTTTTCTTCCTTTCATTCTATGGACCATTTATGATTATTAATAACCATTAATTGAATGCTTTGTATGGGTTAAATGCTTTATATGGATGGTCTAAGTAAACACTATTCTTTTTCTTCCTTTCTTTCTTTTTTTTTTGACAGCTGTCTGGTATGGGGATCCAAACCCTTGACCTTGGTGTTACAACACTGTGCTCTAACCAACTGAGCCAACAGGCCAGCCCCAAACACTATTCTTTTTCTTCCTTTCATTCTTTTTTTTTTTGACAGCTGTCTGGTATGGGGATCCAAACCCTTGACCTTGGTGTTACAACACTGTGCTCTAACCAACTGAGCCAACAGGCCAGCCCCAAACACTATTCTTTTTATCTCCATCACAAAGAAACTAAGGCATAGAGGGTGACAGCTTACATGTAGTAGAGATAGTATTAGAATCCAGGAAGCCCGACTGCAGGACCCTTAGCTACTTACTTGTTTATATTGCTACATAGATGAATCAGTGTACTTTATGTACTAAGTATTTCAAACTGTGAATTGGATCAACAGAATGGATAAGATCAGTCTATTACATGTGGTAAGGATAAATGTTTTGAGGAACTTCTGTGTAGGTTTTCTTTTTCTTTTTCTTTCTTTTTTTTTTGGTAGCTGGCTAGTATGGGGATCCAAACCTGTGACCTTGGTGTTAAAACGCCATGCTTTAACCAACTCAGCTAACAGGCCAGCCCTGTGTAGGTTTTATAAGTATGATTTTTTTTGTATGTGCACTGGCTCCAGATGTAATACTGGATTGTCAAAAGTTTGAAAGCCTCTATCTAAGGGATCATGAGGATCATAAGTATTCAATATATATTTTTTCTTTTTAGAGATATATAATCAGAGAGAAAACAGTCGAGAGGACAAGGGTAACACTGAACTTAAAGGAATGAACCTGAAATGGTGATGTTCCAGGTCTTGGACCAACCTGGGTGGGAGAGAGAAGGAAGGATACTGGTAGGAGTGGGAGGGGACCCAAGTCTTTAAGTCTGTAGAAAATGTAGGAGAGAGTAATAGAGAAAACAATCTTGCACCCTCCCTAATTTTTGTTTCTTGAGAGCATAAGCCAATGACTTACTGTTTTTGGATAGGAACAAACTTCTTTGAAACTCACTCTTCTATGCTTGTAAACAAGATACAGGACTTTATATTTTTTTATTTCTCTGTATTCTGTATGTTAACTCTTTTAATAGTGATGAATTAAGAGTTGTAAAATATAAAATAAGTTGGTATTTTATATTCTTCAATTTTTTTTTTTTCTTTCTGTTTCTGGTGCTAATTTCTGGTGCTCTGGGATTTTCTTAGGTTTTCCTACACTGCAGTTTCTCTCTATAATGCTTGCCTAGTGTACTGTTCCTGTACTTTCCAAGGGGTACCTTGGAAAGCATCTGTGGTCGCCTATGACAGGGCTGTGTCAGGGTTATGCAGGTCTCCTGGTTACTATTCACTACTGGGCTGTAGCTTGTGGCTAGAAGGGAGGGCTGGAGGAGATGCTCTCCCAGCAACCTCTCCCAGCAACTGGCAGTCCTTTGAATCTAGCATCATGGGCTGATTTGGACCAGCTCAGACCAGCTCATCTTTATTTATTTCTGTCCCCATTCAGTTTAGCCACGTCCTAGTTCTCTTACATATTCAAGGTCTTACCTTAGTTCTCCTTTCTCTATAAGGCACCTTTTCTACGTATTTACACTATTCTTTTATTAAGAACCTACACTTAATTAAATTGGAGGGTCTACTATTTCCTGAAGTCCTTGATCTTCATTCCCCGGTGGCTAACCCTTTCCATTCCCTGTCCTTTCTCAGGTATAAATGTAAACAACCTTTTAGAGAGCATTATCTGTCAAAGGTTAAATGGGTATAACTGGTCCCATCAATTGTCCTTTTTATAAGTTATGGGCATACACAACAGTCTTGACTTCTGTCACATTTCTAGTTAAAGTAGGTTTTAGCTTGTCTTATCCCTGCTGCCAAGACAGTTTTCATAGATTATGTTGATAGTGTCCCAAATTTTGGTAAGCGTGTATGTGACCCAGCATGAGGAGATGGTACCAGAGGTGACTGACTCCTTGACTGTTCCCTCACTGGGGCTGAAGAGGTGAGGCACAGACACCGACAGTGAGTAATGTCCCTGCCTCAACCATTTTCACTGTAAGATTGTATCTATT